ATTTTAAAAAATTAGCTGGGAGTCGTGGCAAGTGCCTGTAGTCCCAGCTACTTTGGTGGCTGAGACAGGACAATCTTAGGGCCCAGGAGGTCAAGGCTGTAGTGACCTGTGATCATGCTACTGTACTGCAGCCTGGATGACAGAGTGAGACCCCATCTCTATATAAAAAAAGAAAAAAATACTTAGGAAGAAAACTAACATCAAATATACCAGACTGCCATAGTAAAAACTAAAAAAGTAGGCTTATTGAAGAAAATGGCAACATTATTCTAAAATTTATATAGAATGCAAAAGATATAGAATGGTCAAAAGAATCTAACACTGTTAGAAGGTATATGTATCTGGTTTTAAGATACTATAAACCCACAGTAATAAGACAGTGTGGTACTGGCATAAGAAAAGACATAACTGACTGGAAGTGAAGAGTGCAGAAACAGACCTAGACATACACGGTCAGTTTATTTTTGACAAAGGTAGTGAGTCAAACCAATGAAGGAAGAAAACTGTTTTAAACAAACTGTTAAAATGTTGTTCAACAACCAGATAGTCATGTGGAAAAAAAACCCGTATCTCACTGCATATACACAATTAATTTGAAATGGGTCATGATCTAAATGTAGAAGTTAAAATTACAAACCTTCCACAAACAAACATGAGAAAATCACTGCAACCTTAGGATAGGCAAAGATTTTGGGGGGAAAAAAATCCACTAAGGAAAAAACTTGATAAACATAAGGACTTAATAAAACTGTTTTAAACAAACGGTTAAAATGTTGTTGGAACAACCAGATAGTCAAATGGAAAAAAAAAAACCAGAAGACAAAAACCCTGATCTCCATATTTCACTTGATATACACAATTAATTTGAAATGGGTCACAACCTAAATCTAAAAGTTAAAATTACAAATGTTCTACAAAAAAAACAAGAGAAAATCACTGCAACCTTAGGGTAGGCAAAGATTTTGTGGGGAAAAAAATCCACTAAGGAAAAAACTTACTAAATATAAAGGACTTTATGAAAATTAAAAATCTCTGGCTACGTATGGTGGCTCACATCTGTAATCCCAGCATTTTGAAAGGCTGAGGTGGGCGGATCACTTGAGGCTAGGAGTTCGAGACCAGCCTGGGCAACATGGCAAAACTCTGTCTCTACTAAAAATACAAAAATTAGCCAGGTGTGGTGGCTCATGCCTATAACCTACACAGGTTGAGGCATGAGAATCACTTGAGCCTGGGAGGCAGACGTTGCAGTGAGCTGAGATTGCACCACTGAATTCCAGCCTAGGCAACAAAGCAAGACTATATAAAAAAAAAAAGAAAAAAAGAAAACAAAGAAAGAAAGAGAAAAAAATATGTTCATTTAAAAACATCACAGGGAAAATGAATAGGCAAACCACAGAATCGAAAAAATACACATGCAGCACACACATTTGACAAAGGCTATCTATCTAGACTACATAAAAGAACTATACGTTAACAGCAAAAAGACAACCCAGTTTTAAAAGGGGCAAGAGGCTGGGCGCAATGGCTCATGCCTGTAATCCCAGCATTTGGGGAGGCCAAGGTGGGTGGATCAGGAATTCGAGACCAGCCTGACCAACATGGTGAAACCCCTTCTCTACTAAAAATAAAATTAGCTGGGCATGGTGGTCCACGCCTGTAATCGCAGCTACTCAGAAGGCTGAGGCAGAAGAACTGGTTGAACCCGGGAAATGGAGGTTGCAGTGAGCTAAGACTGTGCCATTGCACTCCAGCGCACTCCAGCCTGGGCAACAGCAAGATTCCGTCTCAAAAAAAAAAAAAAAAAAATTAAAGAACTGCTTCTTTGTTCTTATAAAGTTTCACACACACTTATCCTAAAAATCAGTAATTCTACATATGTAGACAAAACACAGCAGCCTTACTGATAACAGCTTCAAACTAGAAACAATTCAAATGTCCACCATCAAGAGAATGGGGGTAAAATAAATGCTCAATATTTACATAATTAAATACTACTCAACAATTTAAAAAAACTACTGAGACATAATAGCAAGGATGAATTTAAAAAACATATTAAGCAAAAAAGTTAAACAATGCAAAACGATTCTACTTTTCATAAATTCCAAGAATAGGTGAAACTAATGTTATAGTGGTAAAAATTTAAAAATGGTTGCTTAGGGTAATGAGAATTGTAGTGGGAATCTGGGATTGTTTGAAAAGGGACACAAGGAAATTCAAGGAAAATAGAAATGTTCTATATCGTGCTTTGGGTGGTGGTTATATGAGTGTATATAACTGGTAAGACTCTAAACATTTAAGATCTTTGCATTTTATTTTCTCTTAATCATACCTCAATGTTTTTACTCTCTAAAAAACCATTTTAAAAGTATGAAGGCAATCTGAAATATTATCGGTAACTGCTTCTGGGTGTTGGGATTATTGCTAATTTTTTTCTCTTGCTAATTCACATTGTTCTAAACTTCACAATTTTCTATATTGAACATACATATGAATACATTTTCCCATACCTATGATTTGTGGTTTCACAAAGATACCAAATGTTGCCAGCATTTATTTTCTGCAGGGAGGATTATGGGTGGTAAAAGAAAGAGTGAGTCAAGCATTCTTTCTACAGTAAGCACATGGTTCGGTATCTACAGAATCTGAAAGCTCAGGAGATCAGGTAGAGTCAGCCATACCGAGAAGAGGAAGGGATCAGGCACACATGGGTTCAGTTCTAATCCTGGTTGTCTCACAGAACTGGTGAACAAGACACACAGCCTCCATCTTCTCATCCCCAAAATGGGAAATAAGACATATCCTGGGTCAGGCACAGTGACTCTAACCTATAATCCCAGCACTTTGGGAGGCTGAAGCAAGAGCACCACTTGCATCCAGGAGTTTGAGACCAGCCTGGGCAACACAGTGAGACCTCATCTCTACAAAAAATCAAAAATTAGCTGGGCATGGTAGTATGTACCTGTAGTTCCAGCTACTAAGGAGGCTGATGTTGGAGGATCACTTGAGCCCAGGAGGTCGAAGCTGCAGTGAGCTGTGATCATGCCACTGCACTCCAGCCTGGGCAACAGAATGAGACCCTGTATCAAAAAAAATCCTGTCTGCTTCAAAGGGGTTTTGTAAGGGTTAACTGAAATAGCTGTGGTCTATAAAGCAGTCTCTAAAATACAGGGAATTTAGGCCATAATCACTTCTGATATGATGTGAAAATTTAGAAACGCCATCTTTCTCAAAAGTCAGATTCAGTACTTAAAAACCTATGAGAGGCAACAAGGAAAGCCGCTGCTAAAACTCTGGCCTTTTAAATCAACAGCTGAGAGCGCTTACCTATTGTTGCGGTAATAGTGATTCTGCAGGGCATAGGGTAAGCACTGGGGGTTTAACCGCTTGCTGTCAGCCTCCTTCCAGCCATCTTCCATCCACTTTCTTTTGATCTGCTTCTCTTCCTGTTTTTTCCCCATATATTCAGCATAGGTCTGGATCCGATAGCTTTCTGCATATTTGCTGGTATTGACAGCTATAAGGAAAAGAAAGAAAAAAAAAAACTTAGAAAAGTATGGCATAGCCCCAAAGATGTCACTTTTGATAGGTAGCCTAAGGTGGTCAAAGGAGCCCCATCAGGTCTGAGGTCTGACCCTGGCTCTGCCACCTGGAAGACAAAGGACCTTGAGTACACCCCCTTCAACTCTCCAAGTCTGAGTTTTCTCATCTGGAAAAAAAGAGTCATTGTTCTCCAATCTCCTTTTTGGTGTCAAAATGCTTTGTAAACTGTAATGATGTAAGTAAAATACTAATTTTCAAAATGTTTGCAGTCAACATTATTGGATATTATTCATTTTCGGAATTACAAAATGAAAACAAACAAAACCTCTAAGGGAAAACTATAAACCCTATTTTCCTAAAATAAAAATGGTAACAAAAAGCAATATTGCCAGTGGGTGGTGATTACTGTGTCACACACTGAAGACCTCCTGGAAGTCTGTGTGCAGTGTTTTACATGCATTATATCTAATCTTCATAGCATGCTTGCAAGGGAGGAGATGTTTTTGCTGGTGGGAAAGCTGGGTCACAGAGGTCATGGCAGGGACAAGATGCAAAACCAGGTTCCTCTAACCCGATTACCAGGGTCCCTCTTACCACGCTGCACCTCACTCTGGACTCTGCAAAGTTCTTCTGAAAGTGCTTTACTATTTTCATTTCATTATTAAAATTTTTTTTTAACTATCAGGGTTTATTTCCTGTTTTGTTACAATGAATTTTAAACAAATGTGAACACCCACGTATCCATCACACAATTAAAGAGCATCCCTGTGACCCTCATGCCTGTTTGTAGACAGCCTCCTACCCCTCCTTCACTGGATGAAGGCACCTCAGATATATAGCACAATTATGGCATTATCTTCCTCAACTTAAAAAGTGCTGTCACCATTACTACCATCAGAGCTTAATTTTGCCTTCTCTTGAGCTACCTATAACTGGAATTACACTACATATGCAGTTTTTTAAAATATTTTATTTATTTTAATAGTTTTAGGGGAACTATTGAAATAAATATTGGTGGTGTCTGTTTGCATGGAAAAGTTCTTCAGCAGTGATTTCTGAGTTTTGGTGCATCCGTCACCTGAGCAGTGTACACTGCACCCAATGTGCAGTCTTTTATCCCTCACCAGCCTCCTGTCCTTCCTCTGGAGTCCCAAAGTCCATTACATCTTTCTTATGCCTTTGCATCCTCATAGCTTAGCTCCCATGCACTCTGCAAATTTAAGACAGCTTCACAATACTGAGGACATGGCTCTGCTCCTTCCATCTTAAAGACTGCTAATTCTCCATAATGCGCCTCTGGCTGGCAGGAGTGCTTGAAAGTGGGGCTTATTTCCCCCCTGGTATTAATGCTTCAGACTAAGGCCAGGTCAGTTGTGTTCTGCGCGCATGCTGCCCCCTCTTCTGAGGCTACTGTGGATGAATCATGATGGCAGTGTGGGATTGAGAACCAATGGTGGCCTCTTGGTGGATGGGCACTAATTTGCTGGTTCTGGCCTCCAGTTGGGGCATATGCGTTCCTGGCCCACTATCACTGCCAACAACTATTATGCACACTGGCAGTGAGACCATAAGAGCCTGGCCACGCTGTTCAGGGCAGTCTTTGCACCTGGTAGCTGCAAAAGCGCCACGATATCAGAAACAGAATCTGTCTACCTGCAAGTAGAAAACCTCTGGATATGGAATAGTTTTCATCTCAACAAAAATGATGTGAATAAATGCAGGGCAGAATGCAGTGGTAGGGACGAGCATGCAGGCTTTGGGCCACTTTGGCAGTGGACAAGGGACTCCAGTTTACCAGGGACCTTAATGCAGAGGGAAAGACAACTGCAGAGGGAAAGGGAGGCAGGTGCCCCACATCCAGCACCTGACACATTTTAATCTTCAACCAGGCCGGATTTCACTAAAACTTCTCAGCACAACAAAGGTTTCCGGAATGTCATGCCCTAAATATTTAGCCATCTAAAAAACAGAACAAAATAGGAAAAAACTCTACTTCAGAAAACACAAATTTTTACTAAGAAGTTTGTTTGCTTTTAAAATACTCTATAGTGAAAAAGAAAAAGGGGAAAACACCCCTCAAACTATTAGAGAGGCTGGGCATGGAGGCTCACACTTGTAATCGCAGCACTTTGGGAGGCCAAGGCAGGAGGATGACTTGAGCCCATGGAGTTGAAAACCAAGTTGGGCAACACTGTGAGACCCCCATCTCTAAAAAAAGGTGCTAGAGAATATTCATATTATACAAAGTCTCCCAAAGAAGTAGAGGGGGTTACTGAAACGTGAGCTCAAAACAGCACGCTCTGACTTACTTACTCAGGAGGTAAGCAGTAAAAGCAGGTAGTTCTGGAGATGTGCCATTGAGTAAAGTTACTCATATCAGACAGCCACAGAAACAGGATCCTTTCCCCAAAATCTTATTTCTTGGAACAGTTCTTTTTCTTACTTTTAATGTGTCATATTTCTGGTTCTGTTCACTCATTTACCCAGTCTCCCAACAATTTATATACAAGAAACAATGCCACCCATTCTTCCATGTGGTAATTGCTTACTGAGTGTTTTTGTCCCAGGAACTACGTCAGGTATTTGGTAAATCAAGACACAATCTCCACCCTCTCTTAAAAGTCACCCTGTCACATACCAGTTTTATGTACTGGTGATTTCCCTGTAAGCTTGTGACTCCCTAGGCTTGCGACAGATTAAAATACATTAATCTATCAATGTGGATATATGAGAATCCATTGGTTCTATCATCATTATTCTGTACCAACTGTCAATCAATGAGCATCTCCTCGATTTCCCCATTTCATTCTTTTTTTTTTTTAAAGAAAGTTCTTTATTTTTATTAATATATTTATTATTTGTGACAGAGTCTTGCTCTGTCACCTAGGCTGGAATGTAAGCGTGATCTAGGCTGACTGCAACCTCTGCCTCCTGGGTTCAAGTGATTCTCCTGCCTCAGCCTCCTGAATAGCTGGGATTACAGGCATGCGCCACTATGCCCAGCTAATTTTTGTAATTTTCATAGAGACAGGGTTTTGCTGTGTTGGCCAGGCTGGTCTCAAACTCCTGGGCTCAAGTGATCTGCCTGCCTCGGTCTCCCAAAGTGCTGGGATTATGGGCATGAGCCACCGTGCTGGGCCTGGCTATTTCGTTCTTTAACTTAAAAAGGTTTATTTTGCAAGCATGCCCAAAAGGGATGACACCTGCAATAATCCCTCTGTTGCTGGGTGTGGTTGCTGATGCCTAAAGTCCCAGAACAGTGGGAGGCCAAGGCAGGAGGACTGCTTGAGCCCAGGAGTTTGAGACCAGCCAGGACAATGGGGCAAAACACTATCACTATCAAAAAAAAAAAAAAAAAATTAGCCAGATGTGATGGCTTGAGACTATAGTCTCAGTTATTAGGGAGTCTGAGGTGAGGCGAGAGGATAGACTGAGCCCAGGAAGACGAGCCTGCAGTGAGCTGTGATTGCAGCCTATACTCACTCCAACCTGGGCAACACAGCAAGACCCTATCTCGAAAAAAATCCTTCTCTCAAGTTTAAATTTGGATTACCAAATAGGAGAGGAGGCTTGGGTCAATATTCCCATGAAAGCAAAGGTGATAACAGGGTCACAGAGGAGCTGAGATAATCTATTTAATGCTATCTGATTGTTTTCAGTAATTCAGCTCCCAGCTGATGGACAAATGTTACAAACAACTCCCCAACCATGGCGAGGGAATTTATCTGAGCACATTTGGAATTTAGGATCACTTAAAGGGGGAAATAAATAACAGTCCGCTTTTCACTGCTGGCCTCCACGTGGCAATAATTTACCAGCATTCCTTCGAGTCCCAGCAGCTTTGCAGCTCTCGGCCTTTAATCTAGAAGCCAAGCTCTGGCTTGAGGCCACGCCTGTAAAGGATGAATCAGCAAAATGAATTGGCCGTCAACTGTGTCCTCCAGTGATTCCAGCTCGTCTGTCAGAAGCAGTATGTAGCAGGCTGCTGGGTAACACTAACCTTTTCCAAATTTGTCAGGGAAATGATTCAAGGCAATCTATCGGTCTTGCCACTTTGTGAAAGCCACTGGGGAACCAAATGTGCTAAGAGTCCTCCCTGTTTCCCTGGAGGTGTGTGGGAGCAGTTCCTTCACATAAGAGTCTCAACCACTCCGGCTTCACTGTGCCTGGTCCATTGTCTCTTGACACTGCACACATCACAGCATTTAATCTTCGGATGTTGTAGTCACCGCACAAATAAAGAGACTGAGTATTGGAGAAACTAAACAGCTTGCCTGAGGTCTTGTAGGTAAAGCAACAAAGCTGGCTTGGAACTAGGATGTGGCATATATATAATATATACATTTTAACAATGTAATACTGCCGATGTCTGCTGTGTATTTATATACATTTTGTTTATGTAGGTTGACAATTAGCTTATAAAATGTTTCCTGTATTAAAGAATTACTTAAAATGTTTAGACTGGTTTTTTTTTTTTAAAAAGAACTTTCCACTACTGTCAAGCAAAGACTTTTCAGCTAAGTTGATGCATTACGTTTATGAACAGGGAGACAGCATAAAATGTAGATTCCTTCCTAAATCGATTTATAAATTTACTGCAACTCCAGCAAAAATATTCTGACGTTTTATTTTATTTTTTAAACAGCTCCCATGGAATAGGGCTAACTCACAGGCTGTGTGCCCAGAGTCAGCCTCCAACATTTTAATTAAATATTGAAAAAATTTAAAAATAAGAAAAGAAAAAAGCTCAGTAGAAAACAACTGGTTGAGAGCGCCTGGGGCTAGTGCTGGGGCTAGAATGGAAGAGGAAGTTGACTATAAAGAGGGTGAGGGCATTCTGGGGGTGACATAACCATTCTGCATCCTGACGGCAATGCTGATTACATTACTGCATGCATTCGCTGAGGCACAGAACTGTACACCAAAGACAGTCATTTTATTATACATCAGTTAAACCGCAGTTACTCTGGGAAA